TTCGAGACGTGCCTGGACGCGGTCCTGTACAGCCTGCTGTGGGTGACCCTGCTTGGGCAGGGGGTTGGGCTGGGTGACCCACTGAGGTCCCTGCCAACCCCAACCATGCTGTGATTCTGGGATTCTGTGAAAATGTCGACTCCCTGAAAAAATCCCCCCGTACGTGGACCGCGCGGTTCCAGTGTCTCTGCACCCTCTGAGCGGCTGCAGGGAACTGGGAGGAGGTTTTGACCCCTGGCTGTAGCAAGATTTATAGCCTCAGCGTCAGAATACGCTGGTTTACTGTACATATTTTTAAAGAATTGCAAAGGAGATTTTTTACAGCATGTTGTTACGGCCGTGTTGCTGGAGCCAACCTGCCCGTGGCAGCTCGGGTGCGTGGGTTGGGAAGAGGGCGAAATCCCGACAAGCAGAAACACTTGCAAAAAACAACTTCTTTGAAGAAGTCGTAAACCGAGCGCGGGATGGCGGGGCACGGAGCAGAGGTTTCACCGGTGCTCACTGGCGTTGTCACGCGTGCAGAATTCACTGGTGGCATTGCCAGCTCCAAAGAAAGCAGCCATTAGAAGCATTTTTCATTAAGCACCTACGTGTATTCCCATTTAATGTGATAGCCTGTGGGCTGAGACGGAGATTTGAAATTTCAGCCGTTGAAATTACTGACAAAAACAAAAGAATCGCCCCAAAAAACCAATTTGCGAAGGTCTGGCCGGGAACTGCCCGGCCAGGGAGCTGCCCGGCTGCTGTGGGGTCTGTGTGTCCCAGACTCAGATACGAGCACAGCCTGAGCTGTAACAAAGTGCCTGTTACGTGGGACTAAAACAAGTCAGTGTAAAGTACGAAATTTGCCTGTGTGTCTATATAGAAATAAATTGCATTTTTTGACTTGAAATATCCAGATTTGTGGAAACTGCGCTTTGTAGTGAGTTACTGTTTTCACAGCTACATCATTGCGGCCGAATTACTATGCAGTTAGCCAAACACACACGGCGTGATTAGAGATGATCTATTGCATTTTTTATGGTGTGTACTTCAACTATGATAATCACCTGTAAAAAAAAAAAAAAAAAAAAAAAACATGTTTATGTGCTTCTCTGCGTTATCAGTCTATTAGGTAACTTCTGGCATTGATTTTCCAGGATCCGTGACATTTGGCTGTAAACGATACAAAGTGGAAGGCACGAGGAAAAAAGTTCTGAAGTTGGTTAGGCGTGAATTAAACCTCTCCTGTTGCAGGTTTGAAAAATTCCCAGCCCGTTTCGGGCTGACTGGCTGCTCAGTAATGAACGGCGCCTTGTTCTGCCGTGGAATCGCTCGGCGGGGCGCGTCGAGGGGGGCCGGGGAGCTCCCTCCGGGCAGCGCTGCTCGTCGCCGTCGGGATTTCTCCAGCAATACGGCCTCACCTGGTGCTGGGGCGGCGATGAGCGGTCGTCACAGAATCACAGAATCACAGAACAAGGTTGGAAGGGACCTCTGTGGGTCACCCAGTCCAACCCCCTGCCCAAGCAGGGTCACCCAGAGCAGGCTGTAGAGGACCTTGTCCAGGCGGGGCTTGAATATCTCCAGAGAAGGAGACTCGTGCCGTCCCGTGCCTCCGTGCTGTCCCGCTGCGCGTGTCAGGTCTGCGAGGTGGCCACCCCCTCTGGCAGCTGAGACCCCCGCGCCCGGGGCAGGAAAATCTGCGTTCGTGCAGGGACGTGGTTCTGTGTGAAGTTTTATATGCGGGGTTTTGGATACGGGCTTTACCCTTTGAAGACGTTACGTCATTTTTATATATTAAAATTTCTGCCCACGCTTACTTTTTGCTAAGAGCTGGGTTGGCCTTCAGCACCCGTGATGGGCGCCGTATCCGATCACCGGGACCATCCC